AATTATGCTATCAATGTTAGGCAAAGGAAAAAAAAATCCTTGGGGCATGATTTATTTAGGTCTTTGTTGTCTACAAACATCCTAAGCTTGTTTCCCTTTTTAGGGACTACTACTATATTCGCTAACCATTCAGGATATTTTACTTCCAGGATGGATCCTATTTTGAGAAGTTTGGTTACCTCGTCTTTGATGAAAGTGTGTTTGACCTCGAACTGAGGCCTTCTTTTTTATTTCGCGGGCAGAACTTCGGGTCCAAACTTAGTTTATGAGTAGTGATCTCCAGCGGGATCCCTGTCATATCAAGATGGGGCCAAGAAAAACAATGCATATTAGCTATAATAAATTGAATAAGTTTTTTCTTGAGCTCGGGAGTTAACCCTGTGCCCAAGTATACCTTTCGATCGGGCAGATTCTCGATTAATATGATTTGTTCCAGCTCTTCAACATTGATTTTGTGTCGTTAAAATCATCGAGGATTATCAAGGATCGAGGTACCATATAGTCATCATCCTCGCAAGTCCCATGCTTTTCTAGTTGGGTCTAGATCGATGTCTGTGGTTGCAATTTAACAACATGTTTTCCCTTCGAACTTGACCCTTTTGTTGATGAGAGCACCAATATCGTTACCACTTTGTCGATGTCAAACATTTCCTTGGCGGCGTGTTGCTCTCCGTAAACTGTTTTGACTCCCTCTAGCGTTGGTACTTTAGAACCTGGTGAAGGGTCGAGGGCACTGCCCTCATGTTATAGATCTACGATCTCCCAAATAAGGGCATTATACCTCATATCGCCCTCGATCACATGGAACTTCATTTCTTGGATGGTCCCAACCACATTTACTAGCAAAGTTATTTTGCCTTTGGTTGTTTCACATGCCATATTAAAGCCGTTTAGAACTCGGGTCGAGGGTACAACCTGATCCTGAAGGTGGAGCTGCTCTATGACCCTTGATCGAATTATGTTGGCCGAGCTACCTGGATCAATCAAAACACATTTAACTTAAGTCTTATTCATAAGTACAAATATTACCAGTGCATTGTTGTGGGGTTGTTCGATGCCTTCTGCATCCTCATCATTGAAAGAAAAAGTTCCTTCCGGTACGTAATCCTGAATTTGCTTCTCCCCTGTGATTGACACCTTGGTGCATTTTAATACTGGTCCTTAAGGCGTATTGACCCATCCAACGATCATATGAATCACGTGTAGTGGTTCTTCCTGCTCGTTCTGTCTATTGGAATCTCTATTTTTGAAGTGATTCTTGGCCCGATCGCTTAAGAATTCTCGAATATGCCCCTCGTTGAACAATCAGGCTATTTCTTCCCTTAGTTGTCTGCAATCTTCTATTTTATGGCCATGGGTTCCATGATTTTTGCATATTTGGTTAGAATTTCTTTGGGCCAGATGGGTATACAAAGGTTGAGGCCATCTAGTATCCTTGATACGTCCGATGGCTGATACGATGGTGGATGCATCTATATTGAAGTTATATTCCGACAATCATGGCGCTTCTTTAGGCCCGACATCCCTGTCGAAACCACCCTTGCTCATGAGTCCCCGTGAACTTTGACCTTGATTATTTTTCCTCTCATTCCGTGCAAAGTTTCGTCCAGACACGCTACCTCTGCGGTCTCCATTGTATGGTTGATATCGATCTCTATTTGACCTTGGCTCTCGGTCGATATCCCTTTTGATTCTATCCATGGGCCAGTTAGGATAAAGGGACCCAAAAAGAGTCCCCAGTTGATCATCCTCGACCCTGATCTTCGACTGATATCGATTATGTACATTGTCCCAAGTGACAGTTGGATACTCGATCAAATTTTGCTTCAACTGCTGTGAAGCTATGGAACTTTGAATGTTGAGACATTGAGTTAAAGCTTGAACAGCCCAATCATCAATGACCGGTGGCAAATCCATTCTCTCCGTTTGGAACCGAGATACGAATTCCTTGAGTATTTCGTTGTCCTTCTACCTTACCTTAAAAAGGTCTGACTTTTTTGTTGCGACCTTAATGGCTCTAGCATGTGCCTTTACAAAAGAATCTGCAAGCATAGCAAATGAGTCAATAGAATTAGGCGGTAAATTATGATACCATATCATGGAACCCTTCGATAGAGTCTCCCCGAATTTCTTCAGCAATACAGATTCAATTTCGTCATCTTTCAAGTTGTTTCCCCTTGACGGCGCACGTGTAAGAGGTGACGTGTTCATTTGAATCAGTCATCCCGTTATACTTAGGAATATCGGGCATACGAAACTTGTTGGGGATTGGCTTCGGAGCCGTACTTGGGGGGAAAGGTTTGTGTATAAACATTTTTAGAATCTAGTCATTTCAATATCGGTGGTGCCCCCGGGATTTGGTCGACCCTGAAGTTATAGGTTTCCACCTTCTTATCATTTTTCTCGATCTTCTTTTCCCCTGTCTCGATCCGCTTTATCAATTATTCGAGCATTTTTATAATAGCAAGATTGGTTTCCGATTCCTTCTCGTTCGATTCTCTCGAAGCCGATTCGACCTTTTGAATAACTTCTTGGGATGGCTAGAGTTTGACCCTGCTTTGCATTTGGTTTTGATTTTGGAACTGAGCTATATTTCTACCTGTTGGGCCTGCAACATTTCGAAGATTAATCGCAGGCTGATCCTGCTATCTTCACCGTTATGTGCATTCTGAGTAGGTTATCGGGTACCCCCCACGGACGCTGCTTTCTAGATTGATGGTCAATTTTTCATTGATGGCTACATGCGAACTGACGTCGATCAGATCTACATCCGGAACTCCATCGAGGCCAGTTGGGGGTACAATATTTCCTGGTGCAATGTTCTCATTCTCGTCGTGGTGGCTGAGATCATTATCGATGTGTTGATGTGCTGACTGAGAGTTTGACATTTCTTAATCCTGTAATCAAAGACACTTCAAAGAACAAGTGTAAAATAATGTATGTTACGAAAATTTGTACCAGGAAATCACTAATATCCTTAGTCTCATGGTGGGCGCCAAACTATTTACCCTAAAAACGGATAACAATTGAATTTATACCATAGTTTTAAGGACACATGATTTGCTTAGCACAAATTAATATAATAACATAAATTGATATTGAAATTGACAGTAAATAGAAATTAAAACAAACCAAATGAATCAAGTAGCATTGGCCCTCGAATTTGATCTCCCTAGAACCAAGTGATGATTCAGTTTATACAAGAAAAAAGTAACAGAAATAGTGAGAGCTTAAGAGAAAGTGAATATATAGCTTTTTGAAATGTTCATCTCCTCCATTTACAAATGTTCAGACCCCTTTTATATAATAAGAGAATCTTATTCTTGGTACAATTCTAAATATAGTAAGATCCCATGATTGACTGATTAATCGGCCTCTTCTTGATATGTGCCGAGATTTGTGCCGTAATCCTCTCCCGATTACGGATATTTCGTCTTTTCGTTATTCGACCCAATAAGCTTCCCTCGATCTCTATCTTATTCGGTTCCGATCTTGATAGATCTCGATCTCATTCGGTCTCGGTTTTGGTCGATCTCGGTCTCGTGGTCTCGAGCTTGACAACCTAACCCTGCACCACAGTTTGATATAAATCGAAGCCGATCCTTGACTTATTATGCTCCTCCCTCGATCAGTTGCACAAGAAGGGCAAGCCCGATTTTGACCGTATACATCTGGCATTAAAGGTTTTTATTTTCAAGCTCGACACATGTCCAGTTTAATTCCGATCCTAGCAGGGATTCTATTGTACTTGATCGGAGTTTCAACACTAATCCAATTTATTGCCCCTCTTTCTTCCTTCTTTTAGTTGGACTCTTGGAGCTATCGAAATCCAATTTCCCGGAGATTTCCTCGGTTTATTGATGTTTCCGGTCTTTAAGGATCATATTATTTGTAAGATTAAATTTTCTCTCGCTATGTTTGCACCCAACCAATTATGAATATTAAACATACCTCTTTTACATGCATGTTTATCAATAAATCATGATTGAATAACTATGTTTTCTCGTATTAATTTATCACTGTTTAACTATAACAAACTTGTATAATTTGATGTAAATTTTGAGATAGGTAAGTCTTCCCACTTGAAGAGCCATGGTTTAATCATTAATTTGGTCTTCGAAATTTGCTGACACGAGTAATTAGGATTCGATGAAACATATAGCTCATTTAAGGTGAAAATGCTCTGTACCAAAAAAAAAAAAATTAGGTTCTAAGAGGTTTGAACCTGAACACCGATAAAAGTACAGTGATCATATCTCATTCATCCTACTATATCCTTTGGTGTTAAATTTTTATTTTTTGCACATCTAAGAAATGAATGTATTTTAAAAAATAACCTAGTTTTCAAGAAAGATTGAGAATACTTTTTTCACCAAGTTGTACTTTGTTTCAGTAAACAACAGCAATCGTGTTTTTCAATGTGCTGCACGATCTCTTCTTTCCGGAGGAAAGATAGTATTAGTACATTAATAATTCTTGTAAACGTGATTGGGAAATAAATTATTTATTTTCTTTATTGATCTCCTTAAAGTATAAGTCAATTTAAATCATTTGCTTGACGATTAGAAGTCGTAAAATTTTAATCATAGGAATTGCTAAAGAAGTGATCGAGACCAATATTTAAATACTGACATAAATAAATGCAAGCTTCCTCGTAATCACTTATAAATTCCCCACAAATGGGATCAGGCTCTACAATTTTTTATTTTTTTTGTCATGTGGAGCCTTGACGGAGTACAAGCATATTTAAATTTGTAGAGTCAACGACGACGGAAAAAGGGGATCAAATCACATGTGAAATACCTCGAACGTAAACAAAAAAAGAATTTAAATTCTATACCATTCAAAATCCGAAAAAGAGTTGAAGCTTTGTTTCTTTATTTTTAGACTATCAATTAATTTTATTAAAAAATTAATTGACACATGGAATTAAGTGACTTAACTCTAAGTGTAAATATTCTTGTTCATAAAACTTAAATCCAGTTATAAATATGCCATTAGTAGCTTTAATTTCTTGCCTCACTACTCTTTTCAACTATCAGAAACATTAAAGTCTAAATTAAAGTAGCATTTGATACAATATGATTAAGACTTTTGTAGCTGCACTAGCTCTGATAGTGACCTTTCTAGCCTTGCAAACTCCTGTAGCATCTGCAGCTACAAAAGGAAAGACGAGGGTGACAGTTTTAAGCATAGATGGAGGTGGCATCAGAGGCATTATTCCTGGCACTGTTCTTGCTTTCCTTGAATCTAAACTTCAGGTTAGTACTCATAGATCAACCACTTTATTAGGTATACTCAAGGCGGATTTAGTATTAAAGCTCTATATTTTTTAATTATGGGTTCATATATATCTAACAAGTGAGTTTTCACGCATAAATTTATATTTCGCCCAGTACCATAATTAACTACTCATATATTGCGCGCATGCTATCATCCTAGCTCAAAACCTTTCTGGCTATATATAATAGGAACTTGATGGACCCAACGCAAGAGTTGCAGACTATTTCGATGTGGTAGCCGGAACAAGTACAGGTGGACTAGTGACCACAATGCTCACAGCTCCAAACAAGGATAATCGCCCTTTATATGCAGCAAATGACATTACCAGTTTCTTCTTTGAGCACGGCCCTAAAATCTTTCCTGCGAGCAGGTTAGAACAATATTGACAATATATATCTAGCTAGTGTTTCTTAATTTTCATAGTTTAAGTGTTGAATACTGATAGGCGAGTCGAGTATTTAAAATTGATGGGTTCAACCAGCCTTAAGGTTCTTAATTGTAGATTGATATGTCTCAGTGAACACTTTACTGATGGAAAACATTTATATTTGATGCAGCCGCAACAATGTGAAGAAGATCTTTAATATATTTGGGGGGCCAAAGTACGATGGCAGATACCTGAGATCACTGGTTAGGTCGAAATTAGGCAATCTTACGATGAAGCAAACGTTAACTCATACAGTTATCCCAACTTTTGATATCAAGCACCTTCAACCCATTATCTTCACAACTTCTGATGTACGTACAATCCTCTACACCTAACAAACTTCATTTATGTCTTACTATAACTCTATCTTCAATGATGGCTGATATCATATTTGGGTGCAGGCAAGAACAACTGTGTCTAAGGATGCTCTACTATCAGACGTCTGTCTTGGTACCTCTGCAGCACCCACCTATTTCCCTCCATATTATTTTGAGACCAAGGATGCCCAAGGGAAAGTACGTACATTTGATCTTATTGATGGAGGTGTAGCTGCAAATAATCCAGTAAGTAGCCATTTCAAATGACATAATATAAAACTAAAGATCTTTTCTTCCCTTTGTTAGGGTGTATGTCATAATATTCGTGTGGTTATAATTCTTATCGCTAAAAGTAAAATGAGAAGCTAAAGTTAAATTGTTTCCAAATTTAAAAGGTGTTAGGGTGACAAATGGGTGGGTTGGGCTGAATTTGGGCGGGTCAAGATGAGTTAGGTCAATAAATGGGTCATTGCTCAGCCCAGCCCAAAGTGTACTTGGGCTAAGATGGGCTAAACAATGGGTCATAACCCAACCCGTCCAACTTGACCCATGTTTTGAACGATGCTCATCTTGCATAAAAAAGCCTTTTACCTTAAAATGTGTAAGTCAAAAAAAAATTTGGGGGTGGGGG